AGAAATCGTAAATAGTCGTAAGAAGACAGTAGCAGCCGCACTCAACAATAATAGTACAACTGATTCTAAGTACTTGTGACAGCACCAGTAGCAGTAGTACTAGCACTAGTAACCTTATGAATAAAAAACCGTGGTGGCAGTTGTTGCAAACGGAAAAAATACAATCGTAGCCCTCGTCGCCTTAGAAGTCGTACGTAGTGATCGTGATCGTGATAGTGGCAGTAAAGATAGTAGTAGTAGTAGTAGTACTATTAGTAGTTATAGTCGTAATACGAGTGATATTCATGGTAGTAACGTATATCGTGACAGACGGAAGTAATAACATATCTGTAATACCAATAGTACTAGTAGCCGCACACATCGTAATAGTAGTAGTGGTAGTGGTAGTAGTAGTAGTAGTAGTAGTAGTCGTCGTAGTAGTAGTAGGGGTCGTAATAGTTGTTGTCGTGGTAGTAGGAGTAGTAGTAGTAGTAGTAGGAGTAGTAGCCGTCGTAGTCTTAATAGTAGTACTCGTAGTAGTAGTAGTAGTAGTAGTAATAATAATCGTCGTAGCCGTAGTAGTAATAGTAGTGGTAGTAGTAATGGTAGTAGTAGTAGTAGTAGTAGTAGTAGTAGTAGTCGTAGTAGTAGTAGTAGTAGTAGTAATGTTAGTAGTAGTATAGTAGTAGTCGTATCGTAATCGTGATAGTAGCGGTCCTACTCGTAGTGGTTGCAGTAGTAGAAGAAGTCGGAGTCGTGGTAGTAGTAGTCGTCGTCGCCGTCGCCGTCGTCGTATAGTAGTAGTAGTAGCAGTAGCAGTAGTAGTAGTAGTAGTAGTAGTCGTAGTAGTCGTAGTAGTCGTAGTAGTGATAGTAATCGTAGTAGTAGTAGTAGTAGTCGTAGTAGTAGTAGTAGTAGTCGTAGTAATAGTCGTCGTCGTAGTTGTAGTAGTACAAGTAGTAGTCGTAATCATAGTAGTAGTAGTAGTAGTAGTAGTAGTAGTAGTAGTAGTAGTAGTAGTAGTGGTAGTAGTGGTAGTAGTAGTAGTAGTAGCAATAGTAGCAGTAGTCGTAATACTAGTAATAGTAGTAGTAGCAGTAGTCGTCGTCGTACAAGTAATGGCATGCGTAGTTCTAGTCTTACGCTGATCCCATCGTGAAAGACCACATCCCAGAAATAATTTTGAGCACCCAGAAAAGTGTCGAAAGAGTGTCGAGACAGTCTCCCAGGGCCCGGCACGTGAAAACCTTAGAATTTCGGTCCTTTTTCGGTGCTGGAAATTATTTCTGGTGATCATGGCTGAAGTAGGTTGGAACATCATTATTCTAGTCGCAGTACTAATCGTAATCGAAGTGGTCGGATGTAAGATGTATAATACGCTACGTAACATTAGAAGATCGTGAATTCGATTCGTACTTTCCCCAACGATCATGAAGTTCGGTCTCGCCGAACCTCTTCCCCGGCCAACTTCGTCCTGGCCCAGGATAATCAGCTCGCATGCATAAAGAGGGGGGTGTTTTATTACAAGGGCACGGTGGACCTCAAAAGGACGTACGCGACAAGCCACGTACGTGAACATGCTCTCCAATTCGCGAGGCAGCCCTCGTTTTACGAACGCTCACGTGCGTGATGCGACCTCGCGAAGCCCACGCGAACTCACGGATGCGCACGTCTCCGTTTCGCTCCGGAGGGATAGCAACAGGGAGGTCAGCGAACCACCTCACGCAGCTGGCTGCCCCGGTGCCTACGCATCGAAGGAAGTGCCCAGCGGCGGGGCCGAGAGCACCTGCACGCAACATCTTTCGCAACCCCCTTTGTCCCACCCACCCCCTGGCAGGAAGGACCTGAACCGGGGGAAAACATCGAAGAAGAAAAACGAAGAGTCCTCAGGAACTGGAGAAACTGAAGGAACTGAGGGAAGAAAAACCGAAGGAACCTCTGAACTGGAGGGACTGAACTGGAGGGACTGAACTGGAGGGACTGAATCGTCCGCCCTGGGTGTTCCTTGTCGTCTGGCTTTCGGGCTCTAACTCGGGTCTCTGGCGGCCATTCGGGACCATCCAGGCACCCCCAAACGCTCTCGGTGAGGCGCTGCTGCTGGCGAGTACTCCGAGGCCAGAAAATCGCCGAGAACCTACGCATCCCTGTCCGCGAGTAGATGGGGTCGGAGGATCGCGCCATATCGCCGGCGAAGTCCGCGTGGACAAAGCTGGGTCCCCCATCGAGCATCGAGCCACATCGCCGATGCATCCGGCAGGCCTCAGCAGACCCCCGAAAATGGCCTGGCCCCCGTTGGCCTCGACATGCCCCCCCTGAGCAGCCCGGGGCGGTCTCGACACCCCGGCGCCGCCTCCGGCGGCGCCCGGGGGGCGCTCTGCTCCCCAGGGTCGGGATGTTGAGAGCGCCCTGGGCCACTTGGGGGGCCTGTGGAGGCCAGCCGAGACTTCTCGAGAGGCCTGCGGAGGCCAGCCGGGACTGCCTGGGGGGGGGCTGCTGTCTGCGCGGAAGCCGGGGCCTTCCCGTGGCAGGCCATGGGATCGCGCGGTGCCGCTCTTGTCGGCCATACGCAAAGAGTTAGGTCGGGCCTGTCCCCCTACACGGAGATTTTGGGCGAAAAATCGCAAATACTAGAAACATACTCCCAAAATGCTCAAAACTTGGGAGAAACAAAAAACCGTCCCTGGACTGTTCTCCTCTGTATAGGGACAAGCCCGACTTCACGCAAGAGTGACATTTGGCGCGCGGACTTTTGGGGCACGGCGGGGGGACCCAACCTCAGCGCGCAGGCCACCGAGCCGCACTCGGCGATCGGGGGGACCCTGGTGGGCCCGCACCAGAGGTCACTCCAGCGAAAGGGCACTCTTACGTGTACCGGGCCGGGCGAACGGGGGGGATAGGGAAAGGGGGGGTTACGAAATCTGCGGCATGCAGCTGGCTTCAGCCCTACCGAGGGGCCCATTCCTCGATACGTGGGCGCCTCTGGCGCCGGGAGGCGCCATGGACAATCGGCTACGTGAGCTGATTCTCCCCCACCCCTCTGCTATCCCAGGGGAACGAACAATGACATAGACATAAAATCTCGGAGGTCCGCGCGGATTTCTCGGATCGGCGCTGGACCCCCCTCCCTGGCGCGCGGAGCGCGCCAGAGGCGGCGCCCGAGACGCCGCCAGGGGGATCCAGCGCGGATCCGAGAAATCTGCGCGGACCTCCGAGTCTCTATGTTTATGTCATTGTTCGTTCCCCTATATTGGAGGGCGAAAGTGGGGGTCGGGCACAGGGTCCCAGCAATGGTGTCTTTCTGGGCCATGCATCGGCGATGCATCCTCGACTGCTGTGTTCGGCGGGGGTGCCAACTGAAGCTCCCCTTTCGCCCCCTTTCGCCCGGCCCGCGTGCCGTCGCTCTTTGTGCCCCGGCCCGCGGCCCCACCAGAAGGCCCGAGACGGGCCAGGGGGGATCGGCGGCGCGCCGTCCTGCTCGGGCTCCTCCTCCGGCTTCCGGCGCCTCTCGGCGAGGCGGGCCGGCGGCTCTCGGAGGGGGGTGGGAGTCCTGCCGGGGCCCAGCATCCCCCTCGGGCCTCTCTTGGCGCCCCGGGGGGGGGACCAGCGGCGCACGAGGAGGAGGAGGAGGAGGAGGAGGGAGGAGGAGGAGGAGAGGAGGAGGAGGAGGAGGAGGAGGAGGAGAGGAGGGGGGGGGGGGGAGGGAATCCTGCTCGGGCTCCTCCTCCTCCTCCCTCCTCCTCGTCCCCCCCCTCCTCCTCCTCCTCCTCCTCCTCCTCCTCCTCCTCCTCCTCCTCCTCCTCCTCCTCCTCATCATCATCATCATCATCATCATCATCCCCCTCCTCCTCCTCCTCATCCCCCTCCTCCTCCTCGTCCTCCTCCTCCTCCTCCTCCTGCCACCAGCGCCCCTCCAGAGCGGGCGAAAAGGCGGGAGGAGCACGACATCGGCGGCACGCAGCTGCTTTTACCAGCGCCCGCCATCGCAGAAGGCGATCATGCCTCGAGGAAGGTGCCCCGCGGGCGGGGCGGAGCCAACTGCAGTCGTCCAACACTGCTAGAATCAGGCCAATTAAAGACATACAAAGAACAGGATTCCCCTATATTGTTTCATATTGTCTGGGCTTCTGTCTTCCCCCCCACTGCCCATATTTCCCCATATTTTCGGGGGAATCGACGATGAATTGCGTCTGTGCGCTCATGCCAAGGCTCCCCGTCCACGCCGTAGTTGAAGAACGTTACGCCTCTTGGCTTCAGGTCCAAGAGCTTTGCGGCCTTGACAGCAGCAGGGTGATCGACCTGAGGCTGAACCAAACACGTGGCTTGCACCAGCGGCCGCCGGAACGCGAAGGCGCCCTCCAGGGCCAGCTGGGTCGCCACGCAGCGCGAGCAGCACAGGGCCTGCGCCGCGAGCGCCAGCAGCACACGCCCAAGACGAAGACGAACACTGCGCCCGCCAACGACAGGCCTGGAGGCACCGACCTCTCCCGGGTGCCCTGCAGGCTGAAGCAGGCGTTGGCCGAAGTGGAGGGGGCGAGCGCACCAAGGGCTTCCCCTGCCCGCCTCGAGCCCAGCCGCGATATCGACCGCCTCGCCCAGCGCCGAAGAGCTGGACGGCGAAAGGGGCCGGCCGAGATCTGCCATCCGCCGCCTCGAAAAACCGCTTGAGCCAGAGCGGTTGCGGCCAGCACAAGAGCATCCAGCATTGCACGCTGCTGCGCTACTGCTACAGGGGAGATGAGGAGAGGAGAGGAGAAGGGAAGCTGAGGAGGAACGAACAGGGAGCAGGAGGGGGATGAGCAGGACGAGCAGGAGGAGAAGGAGGAGGCGGAGAAGACTGGAAAGACAACTGGGGGGGGGGAGAAGAAAAAACTATCCTCCACTGACTCCCTTGTGACTGCAATGGAGAGGAGTTCCGCGAGCCGATCCACCATACTCCGATTATTCTGCTTCTCCTCCTCCTCCTCCTCCTCCTCCTCCTCCTCCTCCCAGGTCATCCTCCGCACGCCTGGTGAGGTGGTCCTTCAGGGTCTCCAGCTGGGCCTCCTCGTCGGCCTCAGCCGCGCCCCCCTCCCTGGCGAGAGCGCACCACAGCCTCCTCCTCCTCCTCCTCCTCCGCCTCCTCCGTTTCCCCGTGGGCACCACCCAGCTGCATCCCACCACTCCTCCTCCTCCTCCTCCTCCTCCTCCGCCTCCGCCTCCTCCTCCTCCGTTTCCCCGTGGGCACCGCCCAGCTGGATCCCACCACCTCGGAACTGCCACTTGGCTCATTCACGCTACGACTCCCATACCAGCCAACCCACACGACGCCTTGCGCGTACCAACTCGCTGGTTTCCTCTCGACTCCATGTCTACTTGTCGATGCCTCTGCAAGAAAACTAATGGATTGTCGTAGCTTGTGTAGCTGCCTACGCATTTGTCGTTGCCGCTTCCGTGACACACGCATATGGGCCTGCATCAAATGCACTCTCCCTCTGTGCTGTGTACATGCGCACCGAATGCACATTGGTGACTCCCGAGCTCACCAGCGACAACTGCTGTGACTGTGACATGCTTCTGCTAGTACTCGACTGCTGTTTCTGACACTGCTGCCACGGCTACTACTGCTGCTGCTAAGGCAATTGCGACGGCCATTGCTACGGTTGCTTATGCTGATGATGCTACCGAGTCGTATGCAACCATTCCAACGGCCACTACTTCAACTGCTGGTCGTACTGCCTCTACAACGACTGCAACCGATACTACGACCGTGCCGATACCTAATTCTGGTACGTGGGACTGATGCCGCTGCAACCGCTGCTGATACTTTTGATGGGAGTGCATCTTACGAATGCTGACCCCATCATTTTCTGATTGTACGCCTTGATGAAGGGCAACACTGCTCCCGAACCCCGAGCACAGAAAGACACGACCACACAAACGGTCTGCATGTCTTTCGTCTTTGGTTCACCAAGTCGCACCGACGCACACGGTTGATCAACTCCAGTATCAAACGAGGCCAGTGAGCGTCCGACCGAATGAGGAGCAGCACGCTGAAAGCTCTTTGTGACCTCGGGCCATGAGCAACAACACTGTTACTGATCCTGTCATTACGGCTGTCTGCCTTAAGTGCTGATGGTGGTGAAGCACCGCTTGCTGCCGCTCATGATTCATGATGTTTGCTACAGCTTCAACTAGCCATCGGGAGAGTTGTTCACTTCAAGGGACCCTCTGGACCATAGAGGCATGGCTTTTACGTTTGGTCTTCCCCGCGGTTCTCGAAAGTCGCCTCGCAGAGCGCTGCGCTGGCACGGTGGCAGAAATTGTCATCTGCAACGGGGAAACTTTCACTTGATAACCATCAGGCCAGACCGCATCAAACATTATACTGGGGCAAAAGGAGGGTGAGCCTATGCTACTTCTCCTTCCCGTTCTCCTGAAACAATTGCAAGAACCATCGAGGGCTTGCGTCTGGTTTCCGGACGAACTGCATTTCTATATCCAGTCGCCGAGTAGATCCCGTTCTGGGAAGGAGGAGATGAGGGATTGGTTTAAAGGTGGGTGAATGGGGTGGTTTGTATTGGCGTGGTGCGGTACGTCATTGTAGGCGAAGCTGGTCTGTGAGTCTGTTCACGCGTCCTGAATTACAACCCGCAAACATCTTCTTTCAGAGGTCAGCGCGGATTTCTGGGATTGGCGCTAACACCCCCTCTCTGGCGTGCGGAGCGCGCCAGGGGCGGCGCCAGAAGCGCCGCTAAGGAGGCTGCGGCGCCGAGCCAAGGCACCCGCACCGATCTCCGAACGTGTACTTTTATGCACATGCTCCATCTTCGACATTCAAACATATTGTCTCTGTCAAATGATGCCCGCATCAGAACCTCCACCACCGTGCCTTCAGGACGTAGTGGAGTGGAGTGCCCCAAGGCTCATGCAGCCCTGCAGACCTGAGAATAGATGGGGGTGACAAATTCTCAAGGGCCCGGAACCTTTGTTTTCCGGTAGCTCGAGCTTCCGAGAACTCCCTGGGAGCTTCCGGGAGCGCCTGGGAGCTTCTGGGAGCTCCTAGGAGCTTCCGGGAGCTCCCGAAGCTGCTCAGCCAGCCTGAGACGACCTGAAGAATCCTCGAGTGTCTGAAGAGCCGCCTCGGATAACCAAGGGCTCCAGAGCGGCCCCCGACTGCCTCAAGACGGCACATTGTGGACCCAAGACAGCCCAAGAGGACCCCAAGACGCTCCACGAGAGCCCCAAAGGCCCTCCCAGAGGGCCCCAAGAGGCAAGTGTTAGAGACTTTCTTCCAGTTGCTGAACGATGTGGGCGTTCTCGCCTTTTCGGCTTCCCGACCCTCGAAGACGGCCCACGGGGCCACCAAAAGAGCCCCAAGACGGCCCACGATGCCCCAGATTTGGCGCCGATGTCCCAAAGGGCTCCGAGACCCAAGGAGGGCACCAAGACGGCCCAAGAGGCACCGAACACGGACCAAGAGGGTCCCAAAAGGGGCCCCAGAGGGGGAACTCGAACAAGCATGTCGAGCCTTCCGCCCCAAGATGGCCCCTAGGGTCTCTCAGAGGCCCCCGAGGTGCTCCCCAAGAGGCCAAACGAGGCCCGTCCCCAAAGAGGCCCGCAAGATGCCCCAAGAGGCGCCAAAGAGGCCCTGGAGAAGCCCCCGAAGAGCCCTCCAAGAGCCCCCCTCTCAGAGGCATCCCAAGATACTAACCGCAGCCCAGGCGCGGTGGCGGGATGGGCCGTAGGCCACTAGATCTCTGTCAGACAATGCCCGCATCAGAAATGCATTGTCGCAAGAACAAACATCCAGACCACACCAACAAATGGGCGACACAGTTCACCCGGCCTTGGACCTCTGGTGCGCGTACGCAGTTGTACACAGTCGGTGCGATACGCTCCCGAACAGAGAAGGACAACGGCAGCGAGAGCGTCTCGGGAGGGAACGGTGCAGGAGGCCTCACCAATGGGGTCCGAGCAAATGGGGCCAGTAGATCGCACCGCATCACTGATACACCGGTGACGTCAACGATGGATCGGCGACGGCGAACATCGGGCTCCACATTGAGCCGCGTTGCCGATGCATCGGCGATGCGGCGCCATCCTCCGTGAACCCATCTCCGCGGACCCCGATTGGAAGGTCTGGAGGTGCAGGCGGGGGGGGGGCCTTGGTCTTTTCCTCCTCCCGCCGCTTGCTCTCGAAGTACTCCTCCTGGTGACAGCGCGCCACGGTGCGTGCTGAGCGCAGGGTGACGACGCATGGTCTTTCGACCTTTTCCACCCCCCGCCTCTCTCCCGGTCGTCGTCGTCGTCATCTCCCTCCTGCTCCTCATCCTCCTCTTCGAGCCCCTCCTCCTGCTCTCCTGATGCTCCCCGCGCCTCCCCCTCAAAGAAGGCTCGGAGAGCTACCTCCAAAGGCATTGGAGCACGCTCCCAAACGTCCGGCGATGTGCTTTTCTCAACCTGCGGCCCCAGCAACACTTCCGACCCCTGACCCATGGACAGTTGTTCGTCCCGGACCCCTTCTTTGAAGGGGAACTGGGACACACAAATAAATAGACACAAATAAAAGGATTCCCCATATTTTCCTATATTTTTGGGGGTTTTGTCTTCCCCCCCACTTCCCATATTTTCCCATATTTTCTGGTAAATCGACGATTAATTGTGTCTGTGTGTTTTCTCCCCTCCTGATTCTTGGTGGTCCCGAGCCCCCATACCTGGCCCCAGAGGCCGACATGGAGGAACGCCGCCAGGATAGAAGAAACCAGTACGTCGGAGATCTGGGCCCGAACACCCCCGACCATCCCTCCTCGATCCTTCCTCTCTTCGATCGCCCCCTGATTGCGCATGTACTTTGCATCTCCCTAGGAGTCATTCCTGCGTGCGTGCCGAGCGTGGCTGTGTGTAGAGACGGGTGTGGGGGGAAAGACCTTGGGGATCAATGACTTTCCCTACACCCGACTCTGCGAACAGAGGTGGTTCCAACACAATGTACCAGCATGGGGCGAGGGGGGCGTCAGACATAGCACGAGCGCATCTATGAAGGGGCCCACAAACACACAAATAAATACACACAAATAAAAAGGTTCCCCATATTTTCCCATATTTTCTGGGTTTTTGTCTTCCCCACCACTTCCCATATTTTCCCATATTTTCTGGGGGATCGACGATTAATTGTGTCTGTGTGTTTTTTTTCCCTCCTGAATCTAGCGCGTCGCTCCCCCCTCCCACGCTGCCTCCTGCCGAGCCGCCCGCAGTGTCCGCCCGTTTTCGCCAGAACGCCGACGCCGCAGGGACACCGTGCCTCCTCCCTCCTGGGCTCCAGCCCTTCCTACCCCCCTTGCTTCCAGGAGGGAGGGGGTGAGCGGAGGGGGGAATTTGGGGGGAATTTAGGGGGAAGGGGAATTTAGGGGGAAGGGGGGAGGGGGGAATTTAGGGGGGGCGAGGGGGGAATCTAGGAGGAAGGGGAAGGAGGAGGGCTCCTCCTCGACCCAAAACGAGGGCAAGATCACATGTCGACCAGCTCGGATGCCGGTGAATCGGGAATCCCTGAGGGCCAGCGAGTCCGGGGGACGTAATTATCGTGCGCCGCGGCCGTTTCAGAGCGCTTTGGAACGCTCTGAGAGCGCTGTGGAACGCTCTGGAATAATTGATCCTCTTTCTGGGCCTGCCTGGCGACGTCCTCCTTGGTCTCTCTTCTTTCCTCCTCTCGTCCTCCTCCTCTTCGTCCGTCCAGAAACCGCTCACAATCTCGAGCGTCCCCGAACACATGTGAAGTGTATCGAACATCTCCGAACATCCGAAACTTTGCTTATCCTCCTCATGCCCCTTCTCTGCTGGTCCTGCCTCTTCCGCCCTCCTCCAGCACCTCCCTCTTCTCCCAGCAAGGCCAAGGCCAAGGCCGCAACCGCAACCGCCGTGCTCCTGTGGAGAAATCAATAGGTACCGACACCGCTAGGCCCCAGCCAGACCTCTCCTAGGGTGCGTTCTGACCAGGATTCGAGACGAATCCAGCGGTGGCGACGAGGGCCTCCCCGGGGTCCCAAAACGGGGAAAACGGGCGGAGGGCGCCGGCATGGGTACCTTTTCGTCTGATCCTTCTGCTTCTCCACGATCTCGCTCCGCCGGATCCACTTCTGGCCAGTCTCGTGGATCACCTCGCCGCCGGCTTGCCCGCCGGCCAGAACCCCTGGAGGGAGGGAGGCGAGGAGGATGAGCTTCCTGCGAGATGAGGGCGACGATGAAGATGGAGGAGGAGGAAGAGGAGGAGGAGGAGGAGGAGGAGGAGGAGGACGAGGGGGACAGAGGAGGATTCGGATGAGGACGACAAGAACAAGAACGAGGTGGAGCAACGAGGAAGATGACATAGCTCGCGCCGTGAGGAGGACGAGAAGCACGAGGATGACGAGAAGGGTGCTGGCTCCACGAAGAGAAAGGATGCCCCCTTCCACGAGGAGGAACATGAGTTCCTTCCGCGAGGAAGACGACGACGAAAGCGACGAAACACTCATGACGCATCACAGCTGCGCACCAATGCGTAGATCATAGAAATTGGCCTCAGAGCCGCGCGCAGGAGAAATGATAGTGACGGGAGGGCGAGGCATGGCGAATCGGCCTCGAATCTGGGGACCGGCTCGGATCGGAATGGGCGTCGGCTCGATCTGGATCGGCACGGAACACACATCGGATTGGAGATCGGTCGCGCCGAGAGGCGCAGCAACGCATGCAGACCTCGAGCCGCGGCGGATCGTCGGAGCATCGGGAGGGGATCCATAGCCAGGTCGGGCGGGCCGAGGCCGACGTCGAGTTTAGACCGTCGAGCCGGCGTGGGCCCGGAAAAGGCGGGGGGGGGGGACGCGCGGAGGGAGCGGGGGGAGGGAGGAGGGAGGAGGGGGGAGGGAGGAGGGAGGAGGGAGGGGAGGAGGCGGGAGGCGGGAGGGAGGGAGGAGAGGGGAGGAGGGGGAGGAGGGGAGGGGGAGGAGGGAGGCGGGGGAGGAGGGAGGAGGGAGGAGGGAGGAGGGGAGGAGGGAGAGGGAGGAGGGGGGAGGGAGGAGGGGGGTGGGGGAGCGAGCGAGCGAGCAGGAGGCCGAGAGGGGGCGAGAGCGGCGGCGGGGGGCTGCGTGGAGGGGGCGAGGCGCGACGGGGGCGAGGACGGAGGCGGAGGGGGAAGGGACTGGACGGACAGACAGCGTTTTTTTGTTGTATATATATATATATGTGTGTGTGTGTTTGTTGTTTTTTCACCCCAACATGATTCAAACGCAGTAGAAACATGTTAGAAACATGTTAGCGCCTCGGCCTGTTCAGCGACACGGGTGGCACTACATAACGGACAGACAGCGTGAAGGGTCGCTGGTCCCTGCATTCCAAGAGGGCGTCATGATCGGCCTTCCTGCAATGGTTAAGTCGGGCCTGTCCCCCTGCAGGGAGATGTTTGACGAAAACCAGAAATATGTTCAAACATTGTCCAGAAATTGTCCAAAAATAGGCTGGGGACTAATTTTTGAATATTGTTTGCCTTTTTTCGGCATTTCTGGGGTATTGTTTTAATTTTTCGTCGAAAATCCCCCTGTAGTGGGACACGCCCGACATAATGCAATGGTGTCCTGGGGTCCTGTCTGAAGGGCGACTCCTAACCGGCGGCCAACACTTGACCAAACTGTTCGACGGAGGCGAGAAGATACCATGGAGTGACTACCTACCAGACCACCCCAACCCAACCCGAAGACCCGAATTTCGGGTTGGGGGGGGGTACGGGTTCCTTATGTGTTTTCTCGATGTTCCAAGACCCCCCCCCACTAGAAATCGAGAATAAATTGGGGCCTTCGGGTTGGGTTGGGGTGGTTTGGTGGGTGGTGATGGAGGGAGCGGGTCCCGAGGGGACCAGGTCCAAGACCCTGGGGGCTTTCCCCGAAGACCCGGTCTTCATCCTGAGCTGCGTGTGGCGGTCCGGAGCCCCGCAGTGGGCCCCGAAAAAGCAGCACGCGGCGAAAACCTCAGAACCCATTTCCCTGAGGAGTGGCCCCCTTCATGGGGCGGAACGGAAAGGAGGTGAGAGGAGGTGAGAGGAGGAGACAAGAAGACAGAGGATGCGAGAAGGGAGCACCGGTTCTCCCCCGAGGGCCCCAGGGGCAAAACGTAAACACCTGCGGCCACACGCCAGTCCTGATGCACGAACGGCACCCTCGCGCTGACGGATCCTGTCCGCCAGGGGCGACATCCCAGGTGTCGTGAGCACCCCCGAACGCGAGGACTGTGAGGAGGCAGGGGCCAGACTCCGCTGCCTCGAGCAGCAAATTCTTAGCCGAGGGGCGACAAGTTGTGCCATCAGTCGCAGCAGCCGTAGCCCTCAGATCTGTAGTGCGGGTGCAGACCTCAACGAATTCGCTCGGGCGCACCACGCCCTCAAGAACCAGGTCTGCCACCGCACCTGCCTCCGAGATGGTAGCACTGCGCACTCGCGTGCGCGCCACATCGCAAATCCCCGGTGACTCAAATTTCATATTTTTGTTTCGAAAATCGATCCGCCGAGCTTTGAGGAACAGACGGCGTTTCGAACGAGATCGGGCACCAAACGTTGCCAACCAGACCCCAAGCTGACGCCAACCATTGCTGAGCGGACCCCGATTCGACCCCGCACGTTGCCAGACGGAGCCAAAACAGACGCTGAAACGTTACCAGACGGGCTCCAAACTGACTCCACGCATTGTATACTTCTTGGATTCCGGCCCGTCCCGCCACCACGAACGGGCGTTGGCCCTGGGTCAGAGGCCTCCTGAACGTTCGCTGGGGTATCGCGGCTGGCCTTTCGGGGGCCTCTCGAGGCAGCTCTGAGGCCTGTTGAGCGCCGCTTCTTCGGGACCTCTTTTAAACTTCATGCGGGCTTCTTGGGGCCCCTTGGGGGGCCTTTTTGGGTGTGCTTGGGGCCCTCTCTGGCCCCCCCGGGCCCCCTCGGGGCGGAAGGCTGGAGTTTTCGCTTCGCGGCCCCCCTCCCGGGTCCCCTTTTGGGAGAGGAGGGAGAGGAGGAGGAGGAGGAGGAGGAGGAGGAGGAGGAGGAGGAGGAGGAGGAGGAGGAGGAGGAGGAGGAGGAGGAGGAGGAGGAGGAGGAGGAGAGGAAGAGGAGGAGGAGGAGGAGGAGGAGGAGGAGGAGGAATAACCACGTTGGGCCATCCTGGCCATCCTGGAAGCCGCGCTGGACCGCCCCAGCGCCACCTTGAAGCCCTCTCGCGAGCCTCTTGGGCAAGATGGGGGCCAACTTGACAGCCCATTGGGCCGATGCTCGATGGGTGAAAACGCCATAGCCACTGATAAGCATTATTGGGGTCAGTGGGCGAGGGCCTCCTGGGAGCATCTTGGAGCCCTCGTGGGCCGTCTTCGAAGCATCTTGGGTCGTCTTGAAGCAGTCTTCTCGGACCGTCTCGAGGCAATCGTGGGCCGCGGCGCGGGCGGCGGGGCGACGACGGCTGGGCAGAATTCTCTGCGTCGTGGACTCTTTGGTCACCCCGCACATGGGGGCAGCGGGGGACCGTTCGTCCCCCTCGCTCTGGCGCGGTGTTTTGCGCAGCTTCAAGAGCAGGCGCCGCGCGAACCAGATTTTGTATTCGCCCTGCTATGCGACGATTCGATTCCGGAAAGATGCACGCCTTTTTTCGCGCACGTTCAACGACGAACGGAAACGCCACCCAAAAAAGGCGGCAATATCCGCCTTCACTTCTCTGGGGCGGGAATGTCCGCCCTTCTTTTTCTACCCCTTCAGGGCGCATTTCCGACGCAACTTCAAGCCCGAACATCCACAAAAGCACGGCGGATCCGGAGCCGCGGCGGGGCTCGAGCCTTCCCCGAGGCACGGGTGCTGCAGAACAACCTGGAGCTGCTGGCGCGCGCATGCCGCAGTCGGCCAAGCCGACCGCGTTAAGGACCTCGCTGGAACTCTGAACTACTGGAGATGCCTTCGAAGTCCAGGCGGTGCCCCGCGAGGCTCCACCCCCGCGCCATCGACGAAATGGCCCCAGGCGGTGGGAAGAACCAGCAATTCAGACGCGGTCCGCGCCTGCGCGCCAGAAGGTGCCCGAGCAGCGCGCGCGCCGCCCCACTCCGCCGGCGACGGAAACGGCCCGGAAGGAGGATCAAGAAGGAGACGCTGATGGGCGCGGAACGATTGGTGGTCCCCAAACGTGGTGGTGAGAACACCCGGTTGTGAGTGTTGGGCGATCTGGGTAATGGTTTTCGAGCGCTGGCTGGCCCAGGAAACGCAAAACCTCGTGGCGACCGCGTGTCCCCAAACCCGGTGGTGACCCAGAATTATTTTTTGGGGGAATCGGGGTCACCACCGGGTGTCTCACCACCTGGTTTGGAGACCACCAAAGGAGCAGCGCGCGCGCCGCCCCACTCCCACTCCGCAGGCGACGGAAACGGCCCGAAAGGAGGATCGAGAAGGAGACGCTGATGGGCGCGGAATGAAGGATTGCGAAACATTGCGAACAATTGTGAAAAAAAACTAGTTTTTTTCCGCAATCCTAGGTTTTTTCGCAATCCTTCGGTTTTTTCGCGATCCTTCCTTCAGACGAAGCGAGCCCCCGCGAACCAGCCGCCGCACGGGTCGACACGGCTCCCTCTCCCGAGGCGCGCCCGCGCCGGCCGAGACCGGAGCGGCGAGACGAGCCGCCCGGGGGCCCCTGGCGAAGTCATCGACGGCGCGATCCGATGACGGAGCGCGGTGAACGCGGGCCGTCAGCAGGGGAACAAAAAGTGGCATAAACCCGGTGTCGCCTTCCCTCGGCAACCCTCCTGGACCAGCACAGGCGGGGGCAGCTCGCCCAGGACGGGGGCGCGTGGGAGTGCGGAGGGGGTAGGGGTAGGGGCAGGGGGCCGCCGCCATCCCTCCTCTGCCCCCCTGGAGCGAACGTGCCGCAGCGGTGGCCTGGCCGACGCACTCGTCGCTGGTTCCGACGCCCTGAGCGCAGAATGTTACCGCACTTGTCTGAACAAGACGTCGGCGGTGCGCGCGCCACGCGGGGCCCGTTGAGGGCCTCCTTGCCGTCGCTGTCTGCCGATGGGTGCCCAGCGGGGGCCTCCCTTTCAGCGGAGGAACTGGGCAGGCCGAAGTGGACGGTGGAACCCCCGAGAGGGAAGGGACAGGCAGACCCCACATAGCGTCACCCACACTTCTGCTCGTTCCTCCTTGATCCCCATCTCCCGAACAGCGCCGAAGACCCTTGCTTATGATCTTCCCCTTCCTTGCTGGGTCAGGAGGGGTTCAGCCCCCGTTGGATCGCGTCCAGGCCATCGAATTCCATATCCTGTGCGTCGGCTCCTGGGGCTGGAACGTGGACAACTGGCACAGCCTGATCTCCATCAGAAGGAACAGGAACGGGTGGGGGAGTGTGAAGGGGCCCAGGGACACACAAATAAATACACACAAATAAAAAGATTCCCCCTATATTTTCCAATATTTTCTGGGTTTCTGTCTTCCCCCCCCACTTCCCATATTTTCCCATATTTTCTGGGAAATCGAAGATTAATTGTGTGTCTGTGTGTTTCTTCCCCTCCTGAGAGAGGGCCGCTGGGCTGCCTGGTGGCTGCCGGGGCGCCAGCAGCCCCTCGAGCTTGCCGAGCGCCCCCCGGGGGCGACCAGCTGCGGCACCTCGGGCGGCGCAGGAGCGAGGGCCTCCTCGGAAGCCCCGCCGATGCCCACCGTCTCCCGAGACGGCGCCGCCTGCTGCACCGCGCCGCGCCTCTCCCCACCCGAGACGCCATGGCGCCCCCGGGGGCGACCAGCCTGCGGCACCTCGGGCGGCGCAGGAGCGAGGGCCTCCTCGGAGACCCCGCCGATGCCCACCGTCTCCCGAGACGGCCCCGCCTGCTGCACCGCGCCGCGCCTCTCCCCACCCGAGGCGCCGTGGTCTCGGCCTTCGTGGCTGCGACCCTCTCGCGAGACTCTGCCGGGAACTCGCGGGCCCCTCGCGCGGCTCTCCTCGTGCGCTGCCACATCCTCCGCAGCCGTGGGAGGAGGAGGGGGAGGAGGAGGAGGAGGGGGAGGAGGAGGGGGAGGAGGAGGAGGAGGAGGAGGAGGAGGAGGAAGGAGGAGGAGAAGGAGGAGGGGGAGGAGGAGGAGGAGCCCCCCAGCAGTGGAAACTACTTCATTGCTCGGCGACCTTATTGACGGACTGGGGCCCCGCCAGTGGCGGCAGATTGTGATTCACCCGAGGCACCCGCCGCCACGCAACGACGACGACGACGACGAGATTCAAGAGGAGATTGGGAGCAACGCCTTCGGCGAAGAATGTGCCGACGCACTTCGTAATCCTATTACAAGCGTGCTCAAAGTCCGCGCAGGGGAACCCAGAGAGCATGATTCCCTGGGAGAAGTAAAACAACGGGAGAAACATAATCTCCGCCGCGGCGACGACAACTCTGCTTACGACTACGACAAAGATTGCGACTACGATTACGACGGCAACCACGGCGACGACGACGAAAACAACCACGACGACGACAACGACGACCACGACGACGACGACGACGACGACTACGATTACGACTGCAATCACGATCACACCTCCTGAGGTTAAGCTCCGTCGGCGAACGCGCAAACTTATCGCCTGCGGGATGACCGCCAAATTGTCCGCCGCCGCCACCGGCGCCTCCTTGGTGAGGATCTGGATCAGCTTGGCGAGGCTGGCGACCTGTTGCTCAAGCCTTGTCGAACTGCCGACGCCGAACCCCGCAGGCGGACCGCGCGCCCGCACGCCACGGGGAGCACCGCCACCGCCGCCACGAGATAGGTTGACAGCTGCCTTGGATGCCGCCGCCTTTGCCCGCTGGATGTTGGCCTGCAGTGCCGACTTCCCGCAAGCGCAGCGGATGCGGCACGCCCAGTCCTGGTTGCGCCCGCAGTCGGGGCAACCCCACTTGGGCCCACGCGGCCCTGGGAGCACCGCCTCGTCATCACGGCCCGCGAGGTGTGGCCACCGAAAGTGAGGCGAGGACGTATGCTCCAGCACGAACTATGAACAGCGCGAAAGATGAGATCCTCCGAACTGGGCGCCGGGCCAGTAGTGACCGCCAATGCGACTGCCGCCTTGAACCCCGCTGTGGCAACCCCAAGTCGCTTGGGGCGGAACGGCTGGAGGGGAGAGAAGAGAGGAGGAAGAGGAGGAGGGAGAGGAGCAGGAGGAAAAAAGGATGAGGATGAGGATGCGGATAAGTATAAGTATTAGTATGAGGATGGTGATGATGATGACGACGATGATGATGACGATGATGATGATGATGCTGATGATGATGTTGATGATGCTGACGATGATGATGAGGGTGATGATGTTGATGATGCTGATGATGATGGTGATGATGCTGTGTTGATGATGATGATGATGGTAATGAGGAGGATGAGGATGAGCATGAGCATGAGGATGATGATGATGATGATGATGATGATGATGATGATGATGATGATGGTGATGATGATGATGATGATGATGATGATGATGATATTGATGTCTATTATGATGCTGATGATGCTGCTGATGATGATGATGATGAGGAGGAGGAGGAGGAGGAGGAGGAGGGGGAGGAGACAGGCGGGACGCGCGCGCGCGTGAGCGCGTCAGCCAGCAACGCACGCGCCTTCTGGGCCTTTGCCTGCCTCTCCGCGAGGGCGGACTTCAGAAGGTCCATGGCCTCTAGGGGCCACCGCTCGGAGGGCGTGGCGGGCGGCTCCCCCCCCCGAGCCACCCGACTTCGCGCAGCAAGCATTGCGCCCCACGGTGCGTGGCTACCTTCGCGGCCTCGCGCCGCTCTCTAGGAGGGGCAACCGCCTTGCCCCAACCCGCGGCGCTGTAAACGGGGCCATCTTCGCAACCGGGGGGTGTCCCACCTCCCCACTGCCTCCACCCTCGGACAAATGAAGCCCGAGCAGACGGGGTCGGAAAATTCGGGCTCCGAGTCGAGCCCGATCGCGGGTAGGATCGAGCCCCGTCGCCACTTCAGCGGCGATGCGTCACCGATCCTCCTACCACATCTGCGCGGACACCAATCGGGTTGCATGACTCCTTCCTGCCACCGCCTCCTCCTCCTCATCCTCTTCCTCCTCCTCCCCTCCTCCTTAACACGGAGGTTGGATCCGCTACTCAACTGGTTCTCGCCTGCGTGGTAAGCCCACCTGGCGCTCAACCTATGAGGGGGCTTGGGACGGGATGGTGGATTCCTCCCTCCTCCTCCTCCTCCTCCTCCCTGCTCCTCCTCCTCCTCCTCCTCCTCCTCCTCCTCCTCCTCCTCCTCCTCCTCCTCCTCCTCCTCCCTCCTTCCCTCCTCCTCCTCCTCCAACTCCTCCAACTCCTCCAACTCTCCTCCTCCTTCCCTCCTCCTCCTCCTCCTCCTCCTCCTCCTCCTCCTCCTCCTCCTCCTCCTCCTCCTCCTCCTCCTCCTCCTCCTCCTCCCTCCTCCTCCTGCTCCCTCCTCCTCCTCCTCCTCCTCCTCCTCCTCCTCCTCCTCCTCCATCTCCTCCTTCTGCTCCTCGCCTCCCCCTCTTCCCCCTCCACATCCTCATCCTCCGCCTCCTCCTCGGCCTCCTCGGCCGTCCTCCTCCTCCTTCTCCTGTCTTCCTCCTCCTCTTCCTCCTCCCTCCCTCCTCTTCTCCTCCTCCTCCTCCTCCTTGTCGTCCTCCTCCTCCTCCTCCGTCCTCCTCCTCATCCTCCCCTCCTTTCCTCCTCCTCCTCCCCTATTCCTCCTCTTATCCTCCTCCTCCTCCTCCTCATCTTCATCTCCTCCCCTCTTCCTCCTCCTCCTCCTCCTCCTCCTCCTTCTTCTCCACCTCTTCCTCCTCCCCCTCCTCCTCCTTTTTTTTCTCCTCCTCCTCGGCTCTCCCGCCTCCACGCCCTCCTCCTCCTCCTCCTCCTCCTCCCTCCTCCTCCTCCTCCTCCTCCCTTCCTCCCCCTCCCCCTCCGACCGAGCGACCGACCTCCGCCTCCACCTCCCCTTCCCTTCGCCTCCGCCTCCGCCTCCTCCTCCTCCTCCGTTTCTTCCTCCTTTTCCTCCTCCTTCTCCCCCACCTCATCCTCCTCCTCTCCTCCTCTCCTCCTCCTCCTCCTCCTCCTCCTCGGCCTCCTCGGCCTCGGCTTCCTCCTCTTCCTCCTCCTCTTCCTCCTCCTCCTCCCCATCCTCCTATTCACGTTCGCTCAGCTCATTTCAATTGCTCTGGCAGGCCCGCACGATCCAGAACACATGACCCACTGCGCGGCCCCGTCGCTGCATCTTGGCAGGCCCCCGCGCGGCGGCCACGCGTGCCGTGAGTTTCCGCCGACGTCCACCCCCCCAAAAAAAGGGCGCAGGACAACGGGGATGGTTTCGCGCCTGGCAGCACCCAGTTGGAGGCACGCCCGAGGGAATAACGCAAGGTGGGCGGTTTGCCAAGGGAAAGGCCGCGAGCTTCTTAGTCGGCAGGATCCTTCTTAGAAGGGCCCAGGGGGCTGCCAGAAAGGCTCCTGGCCAGCTTCTACGAAGCCCCCTGCCTTCCAATAGGGACCCCCCCGACACCACTCGCACCACCTCCCTGTGCGCACCCGCGCCTCTCAAGGAGTCCAGGAACGCGGGGACGGTCTCGCGCCTGGCGACACCCAGAGATTGCGATGTCTCGTTCGAATACGCGTGTCGCACCACTCCGCTGGACCCCTCGGGAGAGCGGGGGCGCCCCCGCGCCTGGCAGTACCCAGCGGGGGAGACATTTCGATCGAATCTGCGCGCCGCGCCGCCCCTTCGGTGCGCAGGAAGCCGTGCGCCGTCGGCGAGCTCAGCTGGACTGTTAAACAGTTGTCGTTCGCAACCTCTGCGCGCTGCCGTTGCGTAGGCTCTCTGCCTGCCGACGCGCGTCCTGTGCGTGCCGACGGGCGTCTGCACGCAGGGCGCGTTGCGCCGCCACGGGACCGAATCAGCAGCGCCAAAGCCAATCGTGCTCGCCAACGGCGTACCCCCCCCCACTTCCCGATCCCCCCAGCGTTTTCCGACCCGAGAACTCCTCCCCTCCCGCGTCTCCGCCGCCTCCATCCCTGGTGAACCGATTTTCCACCGCCGCAAATGTCAGCTTGATTGGCAAATCCGTTGGCGACAAATGTTTTCAAACATAATTCCCCTGCTCGGGCGCATCGCGGGGCGGCGCCCGCAAGATTGAAAGTCAACGGCGGCGGCGCCGGTGATTAGCGCCGGCGTCCAACCGCCCGCGGGAAGGCGACAGACAGCACAGACTGGGGGAGGGGAGGGGGCGGCAGGCAAAGGTGGCAGAAGCAAGGAACGTGAGCCAGGGCGACACCTGTTCGAAATGAAAAAACTGCTGTCGGCGCCCACCCCTTCACTTTACGTGCTCTTGTCTGTCGAACCGATGCGTTTCCTTTGCCTTGGCCGCAGCCAGGGGGGCGCCAGCTGCCTCGCGGGCCCGCGAGCAAGGCGGGCTGGACGATAGGTGGGCGTGGCCAAGCGGGGATTTGCCCAGCAGCTTACAATGCTGATGTTTCCCCACATGCTTAGTGGGGTTTTGGTTTTCTTCCCTGCCTCGTCGCACCCGCGGCCCTCACACTCCACCTTCCTCCTCCCTCTCCTTTCACACAACACATCACAGCGCAGCACAGCGCAGCACAGCTCAGCACTGCACCTCAGCACAGCACGCTGTAGCTCGGCACAGCACAGCACAGCACAGCACAGCAAGCGCACCACAGAGCAGCAGAGCACAGCAGAGCAGAGCAGAGCAGAGCAGAGCACAGCTCAGCACAGCAAGCGCCACACAGAGCAGCAGAGCAGAGCAGAGCAGAGCAGAGCAGAGCAGAGCAGAGCAGAGCAGAGCAGAGCACAGCTCCGCGACACTGTCGAAAAAACCTAGCAGGCGTGCCACTTTCTGGACACCATAAAAGGGGGTGCGCAGGGGGTGGTCTCTCAGCGCGGCCGCTATCCACGACACTGTCGCAAAGCCTAGCAGGCGTGACACTTTCTGGACACCATAAAAAGGGGGTGCGCAGGGGGTGGTCTCTCAGCGCGGCCGCTATCCACGACACTGTCGCAAAGCCTAGCAGGCGTGACACTTTCTGGACACCTTAAGGGGGTGCGCAGGGGGTGGTCTCTCAGCGCGGCCGCTATCCACGACACTGTCGCAAAGCCTAGCAGGCGTGACACTTTCTGGACACCATAGGGGGTGCGCAGGGGGTGGTGTCTCAGCGCGGCCGCTATCCACGACACTGTCGCAAAGCCCAGTAGGCATGGCACTTTCTGGACCCCCAGGGGGGGTGCGCAGGGGGTGGTCTCTCAGCGCGGTCGCTATCCACGACACTGTCGCAAAACCTAGCAGGCGTGACACTTTCTGGACACCATAAGGGGGTGCGCAGGGGGTGGTGTCTCAGCGCGGCCGCTATCCACGACACTGTCGCAAAGCCTAGTAGGCATGGCACTTTCTGGACACCAAAGGGGGGTGCGCAGGGGGTGGTCTCTCAGCGCGGCCGCTATCCACGACACTGTTGCAAAGCCTAGCAGGCCTGGCACTTTCTGGACACCTTAAGGGGGTGCACAGGGGGTGGTCTCTCCGCGCGGCCGCTATCAACGACACTGTCGCAAAGCCTAGCAGGCGTGACACTTTCTGGACACCATAGGGGGTGCGCAGGGGGTGGTGTCTCAGCGCGGCCGCTATGTCGCAAAGCCTAGTAGGCATGGCACTTTCTGGACACCAAAGGGGGGTGCGCAGGAGGTGGTCTCTCAGCGCGGCCGCTATCCACGACACTGTCGGAAAGCCTAGCAGGCGTGGCACTCTCTGGACACCATGAAAAGAGGTGCCCAGGGGGTGGTCTCCCAGCGCGGCCGCTATCCACGACACTGTCGCAAAGCCTCGCACGCGTTGCACTTTCTGGACACCATCGGGGGGGCGCAGGGGGGGTCTCTCTGCGCGGCCGCTATCCACGACACTGTCGCAAAGCTTAGCAGGCGTGGCATTTTCTGGACACCATCTGGGGATGCGCAAGGGGGGATCTCTGAGCCCACGACACTGCCGCAAAACCTGGCAGGCGTGGCGTTTTGTGGACGCCACACGGGGTGCGCTGGGGGTGCGGTCGCTACCCGTTTCGGCCACGCAAAGCGTGGCAGGCGTGATACTTCCTCGACGCCACAGGGGGTGCCCTGGGGGTACGGCAAGCGCGGTACTTTCTCGATACCACAAAAAGGTGCGCCGGGGGTGCGGTCGATATCCGTTTCGGCTTCGCAAAAAAAAAAAACGTTGGCAAGCGTGGCACTTTCTCAATGCCACAATGGGTGCGCTGGGGGTGCGATCGCTGTCCGTTCCGGGCTCGCAAAGCGTGGCAGGCGTGGCAACTTCTCGACGCCGAAAGGAGTGCGCCGGGGGTGCGGTCGCTATCCGCTTCGGGCTCGCACAGCGTGGCAGGCGTGACGCTTCTTCGGCGCCACAAGGGGGTGCGTTGGTGGTACGGTCGCTATCCGTTTCGGGCTCGCAAGGCGTGGCATTGCGGTCTTTTCTCGATGCCACAGGGGGTGCGCCAGGGGTGCGGTCGATATCCGTTTCGGATTCGCAAAGCTTGGCAGGCGTGGCACTTTCTCGACGCCACAAGGGGCTGTCTTGGGGGTGCGGCCGCTATCTGTTTCGGGCTCGCAAAGTGTGGCTGGCGCGGCGCTTCTCCTCTTCCACCTCTCATCTT